AGCGGCTCGTGGCTCGTTTTTGACGAGCTGCTTGGCTCGGTTACCACCCCTAATTATAAATCACTAAAGCAATTCCCCCTAGCATAGTAGCACAAGTTAAACTTTCTCTTCTAAAAAGCCGTCACTCTTTACAAGCATAACTTGCCATATAAGGGTTTACTCTTCACAAACAGGTGTTAGGGAAGTTCAGTAAAACTTAAACTCCATGATCAAAATGTTTTAGAAATCAGAAAGATGGGATATCACAATCATGACGTAACAAATTGTGCATCAAATTCTTCACAAAAGAGACATTGTCAAACTTCTCACCAGGTATTGGCCGTACAGTCTGGAAAATAGATAAGCTGCAGAAAATCAAATAAAGAAAGTTCTTTCAGAATCGAGCAAAATCGACAGGTCATTGTTATTTCGTCTGAGATAAATTAATTATCATAAACTAGATAACTAATAACAAAAAGTGCAAATTCATTTTTAAATTTCTTATTTGTTGTCCTCGAAACCCAGAGCTAAACAGTAGAGCCTCTATGGTCCATCTAATAATTCTAAATGAAATCTTTGTTCAGGAACCTTTACTCATGCAAATAGAAAAAACCAAAAACTATCTTTGTATATCAGAAGAAAAAGAAAGGACATTATCATTTTTTAATCTAAGAAGTAAAAGCTTAAATTGTGTGACTCAACCTATGCCACATCAAATGTCAATGACCTTAGAAAGTGAATGATTATGATGTCAAGACATTTTTGCATAAAAAACATCAGACAATCATCCGGACTACTAATTATCTTGAGCCAAAACTAATAAAGTCTGCAATTTTGTTCACACGTTGAATGACTGTTTCGAAGTCAATAACAAATTTAGCCAACAATCAGTTCACACTTCCAAGATGATATGGAATTCGCTATAAAAAACTAGACATCATTTTGAAATCAACTCAACCTGAAAGAAATTAACTGAAGATATCAACTAAATTAGATTATTCTCCTATACACCTTCAATTCTTGAGATATTGAAGCACATTTTTAAAATCGACAATCTAAACAACAAAAAAATGGATTTCATATCGAGTTAGTTCTTTCCATCCAAACATAAAGCAATAATTAAATGAAATTGAGATATAACGTTGACAACTGAAGTACCTTTCAGCAGTAATCTCTGAAAACTTATTGGGAGTCCAAGACATCAGCAAGTTTCCTACACAAAGCAAGCTACCTTCATACCTGACCCCATTTACTTTGAAACCTGTATCATCAAACCTGACAAAACACAAAAAGATAAGATGGAGTTAAATACCCGTGAAAAAAAAATTTTAAAAAGCTTCAGAATGCTTCCGCCATATATTATGTACAAGCACACCTAAAATCCATACATGTGTACCATGAATATAAGTAGATAAATATGGAAAAGATTGAAAATTGCATGTTGTGCAAGTTAATACACAATAAAAAGACAAACTTCCCATTTTTCTAATGTCCCTAAAAAAAACAAAATATGCAAATCTAATTAAGAATTAAACCATAGATGTAAGAATTATTCACAACGACATATAACTAAATGTAACTGAGAAGGTAAAACAAATGTAATGAATTGATAAGACGTGTAAATAAAATTCTGTATAATGTAATTTTGTGCATATACATATTTTGATTTAATTGAAGGAGGTACTTTGTACAAGTATAAGGCAGAAATTAAGAGAAGAAAATTGCAAGATGCAGGAAAATAGACCACCGTGCAGCGACAATTTAAGAAAGGAAAAAAAAACACACTTAGAGATGCATGAGACTACTGAAAATGTTAAGCAATGCACCATCAGTAGTTACAGACAATAGGTCTGTCGTTATCAAAACCAAAAATGCTATGGAAGTAATATATAGCTAATAAATAACCCATAGTAAAAGCAATTACAATTCAGAAATGATTCTGTGAAAAGAAACGATGCAACAATTTTACCGAAAAATATTATGGGGTTATTATTGTATGTTACTCCCTTCAATAGAAATATCTCATACGAATTTATGGGCTTAATCTAAATTTCTTCCTGAGCTTTGCTGAATTAGCATTTTGTTTTTTATAGCAAAACAATTCACGTAATAAAAAAATTCATGCCAAAAACCACTATTAAATAAAACTAGCGCAATCCCGAAAATTCGAGCCACAAATTATTGTTTCAAAGGTTTTTCAATTAACAAATAAATTAGTCAGTTAACCGAACAAGTCATTCAATATGAAAACAACTGGTTATATTGTAGACAAATATGTATAGAATAGTACTCTTGGAAGCGGAGCTGGTCTTCGGGGACGTTATCTATGAGATTGATCTGATCGTAGAGAGAGAAAGCTCTTCTCAGGGACGGTAATGGCTGGTTTTGCTTCGAAATTGCTTCTTTTCGCAGCGCTCGCAATAGTGTTGGCAGAGTCGCCACCGCCCGCTGTCTCACTACCATTTTTTTTAGGATTATCTCCGGCCGACTGACCGATTGAGTTTCAGAGGAAATATGTGTATATGGTGACGATTTTCTCCTCCTCCTTTCTTTCACCAAGACCCTCGGCTTTTATGTTGTTGTAAATTGTTCTACTCAACTTTCCAAAATAAAAAATAATTTCTTTCTTTTTTTCTTTTTAAGACATCACAATAACATTCCATAGTACATTGTCAAGAAAATATTGTACAAAATAAAACATATAAAGTTCTTTTTCTTTATATATAGCCCTATTTAATTTAGCTAAAAATAAAATTTTAATAAAACGTATGATTGAAAAATTAATAAATATCTTGGATACCATAAAATATGGGGATCCGCTATTTACATTCACATTTTTTAATATATTCACTTCACTTTATATCCTTCCTTATTAAAATATTAAAAAATTATTATTTCATTCACGTCGAATTTCAATATTATTCTTATTAAATTCATTCATTTAAACATTATAAATTCACACAAATTTTATATATTCATCACACTCTAAATACATGCTTAATGCAATTTAATTTTTTTAAAAAAATTACTATATTCATCAAATCAGTATCAATATCTAGCCTCCGTTTGGTATATCTAGTTAGCCTCCGTTTTCTATATTGTCATGTCAGCGCTTCAATATTTAGTTGCAAATGTTAGAGAATCTCTTTTCTTGAATATATAAGATTTTCTCAAAAGTAAAGTGTTCACGCAACCAAACAAATCCCTCCTCAAATCATTTTGGTTTTTTTATTATAAGCTAATAATTTTGGTTGTTTATGTATTGGTTGATAATTTTAAGTTTGTTTCATTTTGTGATGTAAGAATATTTGGATGGGTGTTGAAATTCCTTTTGGAATTTTTCGTATACTTTTATCTGTCAACTAATACTTAAAACAAAGCATAAAAAATAATATTCAATTTTTCATATCATGAAAGAATTATAACTAAAATAATGTGTTGATTTTTTATTTTTCTTATTTTATTTGAAGAAGGTATTTTATGATTAGTAGAGTTTTATGATTTTAGTTGAAGATGATATTTTATCATTATTAGAATTCTACTTAAATACAAACTCTAAAAGAATATTAAAAGGTTCAAAATAGTTTATTTAAATAAAAATTAATGGTTGAATTTATAACGAGATATTTTTATTTAATTTTTTTTATGTCTATTTATATAAATGTATAAAATTAAAAATATAATATAATTATATTTATAAATTAAAAATTGTAAATGTAAATAGCTATACCCTAAAATGCGTGATTGTAAATGAGCTTTAAAAATTTGGGCCAAACAAAAGTATAGTATGTGTAATGAGTTTTTCTCTGAGAAAATAAATTTTAGTAAATGTTAAAAAATAACTAAATTTACGTGTAAAATACTTTATTGTAAAAATGTGTAATTAAAATTAAATTTGAGAAAATAAATTTTATTTTAATAGTCGCCAAAAGGACGTACTCTAATTAAACCCAAATAGGGTTAATTGTACCAAAGGTAACTAAACTTTTTCCCCGCTCACAATTGAGTCACAAAAATTCAATTTAACAACAATTAAATCACTTCGTTAGTGAAACATTGATATCCACAAAATAACTATAACGTTACATTGCATACATATTTCCACAAACCCAGTATTATAAAAGTTTTGAGGCTAGATTGAAAGCATCAAACTCCATAATTAACGTTGCTCTTCGTCACATTAAAGTAACTAGCCCCTTCTTGCATATACAAATCAACACGACAGCTCACATCGTAGAGCCAACATATTCAGCACCAATTATTGAATTTTTCTCACATCAAAAACAAAATTTGAAAGTATACCAAAGCGGCTTTTCCTCCTGTTTTTATTTTAACTTGAAAAGAAGAAATAATTTAGCTACTAACATATGCAGGAGCAGGCAAGAAAGGAAATGGCGCTACTGATGCATATGCTACAGGTGGTCGAGCTTGAGAACCGACCATATCACGTTTATATTTTCTCTGAGGAATGTCTTCCGAGTCATCTACATCACTCTCCACGGAAGGAAGAAGTTCAACATACTTATGCGACTTCTCCACTAGCATGGACTGTTCACTGTCAGATAGACGATGAACTAGAAGGCCAGACATAAATACCGGAAGATAAAGAAGGCTAGCATGGAACATTCTCCTGGCTGTTTTTGCCGTCCGGTTCCTGTAGAAGGATGCTGCAGTACAACTAATCGCAATACCAAGTAGTGTCGACTCAATGCAGAACCACCCAGACGTTATACCCCCTGAGGATAGTCATCATTCAGAATGCAAATAGTACTCCCGACAATAATCATCAGAGAAAGATCAACTGCTTCTACAGATTATACTGTAAAACTTATCAATCTAAACTTGCATGTGCGTATAGCCACGCAAATAAACACTTCCAGTCAAACCAACCTTCAATCTCATTATTTACCCAAGACAGACGAAGAATTAACATGTCATAATCAAATGGGATGACTTTCTCAAACTTTGTACTTATAAAAACAGATAAATAAATAACTAGAGTTATTAAACTTAGGCCCATAGAAAGCATTAATCGATATGTACAAACAAATTAGGAGAAGTATAGATGCTCTCTTGTGAAACAAAGAAAATAAGTAAAGAGATCATCCTGGCTGATCTAGGACTCAAGCACTAAAGCCCTGTTTGGTGCACATTTTTTTTTTGGAAAAAGCGTTCATTCTTACTGTTGATGTGATGGAGAATATTGGTTGAAAAAGAAGAAAATTTATTGATGTAATGAAAAGTATTATTTTATTGAAGAATGTGTGATTAAAAATAAATAGAAGAATGAGAATGAAAAAAATAATGTGGCTCAAAAAGGGCCTAATTACTTTTCTCGAGAAAAAAGAAAGCAATTAACTAATCATTTAGATTAAGGGGGCAGGTTTGATTATATACTCATAATAAACTTAGCATACTACTAACCAACGAAAGAACAAAAAGTTAAACCAACTTAACAAAAATTAAAAAAATAAAAATTGTTGAATCAACTCACAATCATACGCAAGGTAACCTAAGGGAAGTAGATATAGGCAGTTCCTCAAAGCGACCAAAGCTGTCCTCTGACCTGAAGCATCGGCAAGAGAAAACATCCTGAACCTAAAAGGAAAGAAGATACAGTAAAAATTAGAGAATCACAGACTTGATGAATGACTAAGAAAGAAATCAACATAATGTCCATCTGCAAAAAGTTAACGTTCGACTCTTAAATGTATAAGTATACCAACTTCCTTAACCCTGAAAATACAGTAATGTAAAATTTTCATTTCCCTTGGTAAAGATTTGTCTAACGAGTTCCATTGCTACTTGCTATGGAAGCCGAAGCTCTAAACTTTTACAGATTGTTACTTCATGAACTAGTCAAAAAGGACAGAGCAGAAAATCATCTAGAACCAAGCCAAAAAGAAAAAGAAGGCTCATTTAATACAAACAATCTACCAAGAGATCTGATCTAGTAAGTAATAACTTTCCCATGCCAAGCGAGTTGAATACATCTTTTAAGTCGAGCATTGTCATACAATAAATTCTAATATACTGAAAAATAAAAATAAAATAATTAGGCCTCATACCCTCCATCTGCATAATCTCTGCGGCACAAGTATGCTAGGGCCATAAAATGAGGTAATTGCCAAAAATATAGAGCAGCTGGGAGAATCATTGCATTAAGTGAAATCTGACCAGAAGCAGCAGCCCACCTTGTAAAGGAGAAAGAAATAACTGTCAGGCTGGCTCACGTTAACATATATTTGTGGCCCAAAATGGAATTTTGTGGATGCATGAAAAGTAAAATATTTTGTGGATGCATGAAATAGCTGCTGAATTCTTTCCTCATCCACTGTAGAAGGTTCCAATGTAACTGACAGGTTTGATTAAGGTCTAAGTTTAATTTTTCTTCACTTTTTTCATGTCTTTTTGCAACTTTACATCTTGATTTAAACATGGAAATATTACTTCGACCGATTGGAAGGATGCACCACTTTCTAGAAGAGGACTGACAAGGGAGAGCAGATTGTGGAATATAAGTAGGTAGAGACCGGAACGTCTAAATAAACAACTAAATTAAATTATATATACCAGAATTTCTCTTAGTAAGGGTACTATAAATTTAGAATAGATCTAAAACATATTTTGACCTGATAAAGACGATATTTTCCAAGAAATTTGAACCATGGAATGGTTTCTCAACATCACATCTAATACTCTAGTCTGATAAGGGGGAAAAACTCAAGTAAAAGACTGATTAGATTCATTTTATCTTTATTTCCAACTTCACCTTCAACAAGAGTAGAATAAATAAAATGAGGTATAAAATTTAATATCTGAGGTGGAGCGAATTCAAAACATTTCTTCCATGTTTGCAAGATACTGCACACATGTTTCCATCTGTTAAGCATACTGGGCATTAAACTAGAAGCTTTGTAAGAAAAATATGTACAAGTTATATTTTAAAAGCTTAGGATACCACTAATGCAGTACGCTAGTGCAGCTAATAATGAAGAAAATTTTATCCAGTGACGTAATGATCAAAAAGAAAATGTCAGCAATAAATCTAAGGACACAAGAAAACTTATACTGAAATTTTAGGTTACCAATGCATCGGTCATCAAACTCAAGATTGATGTTCCGATTATATCTACACCAAAGAGATGGAACCAGACAAAAAGAAAAATACCACCAATTGCAATTATAACTGTGATTAATAATATCAAGTATATCTCCAGAATATTTTCAATGGGGAAGAAACTTAATAGGAGAGATATTCAACATATAAAAAGAAGAAAAGATGTTTTTAAAGTGGCTAAAGGAAATTACCCAAGAAGAGGTGGAATGGCTCCAACAATAGCCCCAACCCAAGTATTTACTGGATGTATCTGCTTTAGTGGAGTGTATACAAATGCATAAAGAAAAAGGTTTGAAGCTGCAAGGCCAGCTGCCAGCATATTAGCCTGCCACCTTGGCATAGAGATTGCAACATCAGTCCCTTGCCCAGGGATTAAAAGATAATATAATATCCTATTATCAGCTATCGAACAAGTTATTGAGACATATGATAACCTCGCAAGCCAACAAAGCAGTGCCAGCTACACCTACAGAAGATGCCCAGGTGATTGCATGAGGTACAGTAAGACGTCCTGATGGCAGTGGTCTATATCTGGTTCGTTTCATCTTGGCATCATTATTTACCTCAAAAACCTAAAGCAAAACTCGTGGCAAATAAATCACCTCAATTAATCAACAATAAAATTATAAAATTCATTATAAACTGGAAAACAGCTTTTAGCGCGTAAACAGAAATTCAAAAGAATAATACTCATCAAGTAATTGTAGATTGATGAACAACTAATAGAAATTAATCATTCACATACACAGAACGCTTTTTCTTTTAAAAATTATATGTGACCAGCTTTGATGCGAAAACAAGAACTGTTCATTTTTTTGAAGCCAAGAAGTGTTCATTTTTATCAAACAAAACTTAGTTAATACAGCAGATGATAAAACTATGAGCATCCCACTACATATAGTCACTATTTAAGTTTCACGTTAAGCAAGTCAATTGATAACTACCTACTTGTTTTTATATTGTCTAAAAATGCAAAAGAAGGGCATCCACTCACTGATACATTTCTTTCGCAACTTGCACAAGACCTCTCTCATTCGGTGACCTTCATTATGAACTAAAACACAATGATTATATGACTACAGGTGACGGTAGACTTGGATTATACAGCGAATATAAAGCACCATGATGATATCTAATGATTCTAGAGCCTCAGCGGGGAAATAAACAAGGGTTGACAAAAGAAAGAACTCCACCCTGCCAAGTGAACATGTCCGTGTTTCCCATGAAGATTAGTTTCCTCTTCTTTTTTCTTATTTAAGGTCATGGATGAGAGAAGCAAAATTTCTTTTATTTCTTCTTCCTATTTATCAGTTTTCCTTTTTTTCTCTGGAGGCAGGTGCTTGAACAAGCTTAAGATACCATGAACGGCGTGAGATTTAGTCCCCATGAATATGACTGAAGATCGTCCAAAGCAGAACTCACTTTCTAATTCCAAAAAAAAAAATATTAAAATAAAATGCACAACAGACCTGATTTAAGGAGTTGGCAGAAGCTGCAACCATCATCGTGCCAGCACAGGTACAGCAAAGGCCAAGGTAATCAATGGAAATGCCACTACCAAGGACATATCCAGTGCCGGAAGTAGCAACAACTAGCATACTAAAGACAATGTAAAAAGGATTTATGAGAGGACGAGCATACAAGATATAGGTGTAACAAGCTATTGAATAAAAGTAGTCATAACAGGAAACACACATATACTAAGTGAACCTCCTACGTAATTGCTAGAGTAGACGGAAGCAATCAGAAAATAAAGAATGTCTGGTAGAAAATTAAGAACGTAACATATGGGGATATAGATCAGGATTTAATACAAATTGATCAGCCAACATTTTTCACTGTAGTTCAGATGTATGATTATGAGGTAAAAAATGTACTCCAAAACTAAGTATATGTGCGTTTCCACATATAGCTATTACATCAAGATGCCAAGTTTTTGACAAATGTGTACAGACCATTGGAAGTTACTTTACCACATCTCTTAGTATCATAGAACGTGTGATATTGTGTGATTGTGACCAATTCATTTTGCCCAACGTTAACACCTTGTACGCACAGAATCCATGCACAAGGTAATACAGTTTGAGGATATATGAAAACCACAATTTTGATAATAACAAACACATAACGTATTGCTAATGAATATTCTAGACTTAGTCTAATTACATGTATTAGTGACCAACGAAACTTCAAGAATGTACATCCCATCTTACTTGTTTTCTTTGCAGATGAAATTAAAAATGTATACATCCAGCAAGACTTCAAAAGGAGGATTAATCGGAAGAATTTTTGAAAGTTGTCTTGTTGGGAGTGCATGAAAATTTTCTTGATGTCACCCACAAATATGGAAGAATCATTCCAAAACTATTTTGTTCATTTTTCTTATTTTTCCTTGGCAAAGATTCTTACAGACTCACAAGGTTTGTGCATAAGCTATCCTCTTCCCTTCTTTGGAGGAATCTTATCCAAACCTTGCCCCGTAATAATCCTGGTCAAGTTATTAACTCTGACCCCTTCTATACAGGTGATTCAGAATTTAATTACATATTCCTCATCCAGCTTCTTGATGGAACAATCCTGAATGTTATGCATGCCCATATAATGAAAGTTCACAATATCCCACTCGATGAGTTCTTTTTCCCAATTTGTAATCACCGTTTCAATCAAGATATAGGCTCTTTATGTAAGAACCCATTTAAGAATTATCTTTTTCTTCTGTACATACAGGTGTTGGAAAAGAAAGAAAAAATCCACCTCAAATGGCTAGAAACATATCACAAATCAAACAAGCACAATTACATGTAAATCACAATACAAGGAGGTTATTTGAGCAATATAGAACTCCTGTTTCATACTAAGGGTTATTCCTTTAAGTGATATAAAATTCTGCAGAGAAGCAGCAGTATCTTATTAGGATATCCAGGTATCTATTCTTCGAGGGGAGTGGAAGCACAGAAAGTGTATAATTAATTATAGTGGATTGAAGGAGAATGGATAAAACTATGCATTGTAAGAAACCAGTTGTGCAGATTATCAACTACTACCTTCCCCTCCCTTACCCTCTAGGGCCTCTACTCCAAAGTAAATTCTTCATCCAGATACCTCAAAAAAATAGCTTTGATCTGTTTTAAGTGACAAAAGCTATTGCAAAAAGACATATATACAAACCACAGGGTAATCACAGTCAGTAGGCCTTCTTTTATTTATATATTCGCTCTGTGAAATCTAAACATTCTGCCTAAGCTCTTAATATACGCACATAGTACATTAATATCACGTTTCAATCAGATAAAAACAAAAATTCCAAATCCATTAGCCACCAGAAAATTGAGCAATTTGACTGACATGAAACACACTTAAAATATGTTCTAAACCAACCAAAATCTCCAATAAGATGGATCTAAGTTTCAAACATTATGCTTGAGGTCACGAAATTCCAACTCCTCGAATTTGAAATTTGTCAAAAAAGAATAAAATAAAATAATAGGGTGTGAACTGAACCAGTTTTAACAGACCTCAGACGAGCTTTTGAGAGCTCCCAATAACAGCGACCATAATGCTTGGCCAAGTACGCCACATCCTTAGCCTTCCACACCGACGAAGCCGCTAACGACGATAAGTCAGCGGCGCTGGTTGACGCGGCATGAGCCCCAAAATTTACGATCCCAGGACCGGCATCGGACCACTTCACCGGATCGGCTGCCGACGTGGACTGTGGGCTTGTGGAATTAGATCGGCCAAGAAGGCCATGATTGGAAGGTTTCGGGGAAGTGCGGAGCAAGAAGGGGAGATAATAACTGGAATTGGAGTGGGCAAGTTTGGATGAAAAACTCAGCGAGTTTCTCCACATGGCCGAGTCAGAGGAGCAAGTTCGCCCTAGAGGAAGTTATCCAGTTTCAACAGAGTTTCGACCGATGGGCCGATTAGCATGAGATGGTGGAGAAGAAATTAAGGCTGCGTTGACATGCAGTGACAAATGTTAAAAATGACTGACCAATAAAACTAGGCCATGTCAGGAGGCCTTTTCCCATGCATCTGGGATGCTAATTAGGGTGATGCTACATGTACACCTCATGCATTACACAATCCTTTACACCCCCTCACATGGAGGGGGGCCACAATTATTTTATTATGTGTGGACCCCCTTCCATGTGAGAGAAGTGTAAAGGATTGTGTAAAAAATTATGTACACATAGCTTTATTCTGCTAATTAGGGCATTTTCATAATCAAGTTATTTATTTTGCAACAGAGGTCCCTCAATCTTTCGAAAATGTGCAATAAGGTCTTAAAAAAAATCTAAACACGAGCAAATGGGAATAAAATTATATTTTTAAATAGTAATTTATATATTGTTAATATTTTATAGAAAAAACAAATAAATATTTGAATTCAACCATCAAAAAAATTTAAAAAATAAAACAATATGAATAATATACATCGAAAATGATACCGGACTTCCTATCGATGATCAACAACTAAAGCATGTCAATGATTGTTGACATCACCAATGACATTGCCATCCACAAATATTAAGGTAGCTATGTCAACGAGTCGAGTCGAAAAAAAAAGCTCGAGCAGAGCCCAATCTTTTTTGAGATGAGCTTTTTTGGCCCGAGCCGAGCCCGACAAAAAAAAAAATGAGGCTCGGCCCGAGCTTTTGGCCGAACCTTAGCGGGTTGAGCCGGCTCCGATTTCTTGATTTTTTTTTTATTATTTTTTCTTAGCTGCCGACTGTTGCAGGCAGCTTGCTAGTTGTCTTAAAAAAAAAAAAAATGATCAACAACTAAAGCATGTCAATGATTGTTGACATCACCAATGACATTGCCATCCACAAATATTAAGGTAGCTATGTCAACTAGCGGAGCCGAAAAAAAAAAAGCTCGAGCAGAGCCCGAGCTTTTTTAAGCCGAGTTTTTTTTGGCCCGAGCCGAGCCCGACCAAAAAAATAAGGCTCGGCCCGAGCTTTTGGCCTGAGCCGAGCCGAGCCGAGCCGAGCCGCTCAGATTTTCTCTTTTTTTTTTCCTTAGTTGCCTGCAGTTGCAAGATTCCTGCAAGCTTGCTACCAAGCTGCCTGCAGTTGCAGGCAGGCAGCTTGCTGCCTTCAAATTTATTTTTTATTTTTATATAAATAGGAGGCTCGCCAGGGCCACGGGCAGGCCCGGGCTCGAGCCGACTCACCAAAATGGGACTCGGTAGAGCCAAGCCCAACTCGGGCTTTTTCCGAACCCGAGCCGTTCGAGCCCCCGAGCTTTTTTTGTCACTGCTACATTAAGGGAGTGCATCGGTATAATTGACGAAATGTTGTCAGTGGTTATGTTCAAATCACTGACATATATGGATTCCAATAAAATCTCCAAATCCGTGAATTTTTTAAATTATTGTTTTGCAAAAGATTCTTCAATGATTTCGTTTAAAGCCCCGAATTGCTTGAATTGTCTCTAAATGTCACTCAAAGTAGAACTCATACTTAGAGTGTGTGTGAGTCACATTATTTGAAAAAAAATGTATTTTGGAATAGTAGATTGATGAAAAATGTGTGGTTGAAAATGAGTAGAAGAATGAGAATGCAAATTTTAATGTGGCTCAAACAGGGGTTTAGATTAATTCACGTCCTCGAACTTTCAGGTGAGACGAATTACACCATAACTTTTTCTCCCAAAAAGAAAAATAGTATATATGATTGGATAACATCAACGATGAAAAGGTATGAGGGGTGAGAAGATAAATATTGATCATATTAAGGGGAACAAGTTTAGATGGAAATAAACACATTTTTGATAATTTATTTAAGCCTATAAATTAATATGGAGGAATATTCTGATTACACTAGGCAATAAAAATTCCAAAGAGAACATTAATTTGAATTAAAAAACCAAAAAACTCAATTATATAGAACACGATCATATTAATTTACATAGTTAAGGGAACTTTTAGAGTGCATTTGAATCAAGAAAATCCTCCCATCTTCCACTTGCCCTCAAAGGTTGCTCAACTTAGAGAAGTGGATGCACAACTCTAGTTTCCTTGCACAGACAGTTTCACACATTCTTATTACTACGGAACCGGCGGCATACCATGAGCCGCTGCTCTTCTATATTTTCTTTATTAAATACTCCACTTTGAAAATGATAGAAGAAAACTTATATCTAGTCTAGACTAGTCTGAATTCTTCATTCATTTCTCCATTGTTTGTCCCATTTCTCTCTTCAAATTTGATGTACTTGTACCAGTTTGCTGTCACAAGGTACACCACAAGATCAGCGCTTGTCAAAGCTGCTAAAAGGAAGTAGAATCTGTCCAAATGACCTTTGTTGAGGTTTCCAGGAATCCATCCAGGCATTTTATCAGAGGTAGAAATTTTCATGACTATACTCACTAGCAAACTACTCACATAATTTCCTAATGATATGGAAGTCATGCAAAGTGCGCTCCCAAAGCTCTTCAAACCATCGGGCGTCTGCCCATTAAAGAACTCCAATTGTCCAACATACATGAAAACCTCTGATGCGCCGATTAAAACATATTGTGGGACTTGCCAGAAGATACTCAAAGTACTCGAACATTTCGGGCAATCTTTCTGCACGTGCTTCAGTCTAAAATGTTCTACTAAACCGGCTGCTATCATTGCCATTATAGCGATGATTAGGCCAATTCCCATTCGTTGAAGCTCAGTTAGCCCTCTGGGACTAGACTTTCTAAATCTGGCAACAAGGGGGTCGAGAACTCGCCTATAGATGAAAATAAAAGCTGCAACGCTAAGAATGTCGAAGCTAGACATGCTCGCCGGAGGAATATGAAAGCCTGCAATAGTGGTTTTCATAGCAGCCCCTTGTTCTACGAAAAGAGAGGCCATCTGAGTGAAGACGACAGAGTACAGTATGGTGCACAGCCAAATTGGAAGAAGTCTAAGTACGCATTTTACTTCTTCAACTTGTGTCACTGAGCAAAGTCTCCACGGATTAATGCCAAGATCCTTTCCTTCTAAAGTATACTCCTTTGATGTGATAACTGCGGCTTTGTCCAGGAACCTACATACAACGATATGAAATTAAATCTTACGTCTCCAAATTTCAAAATATATATATATGTCAAAGATAGAAACTAAATGCTTACTTGAATCCATGCGTATGAAGTATTTTTCTGTCCCCATATTGTGCAAGCTCCTTACCATCTACTTCATGTAATTTATCATCACTTGAAGGGACCTCAGTTTTCCATTTTCTTAATGCAGCAACAATCACTTGGCAAAATCTTGAAAGTGGGTTACCTTTTGGTATAAAATGTCTGTACCTTGGTGTCCCAACAAGGAACAAGATTAGTGCAACTATAGCTGAACCAGCAGATGCCCAAAACCCTAATGCCCACATTCCCTTGTCCTCATAATACCCCAAAATTGTGTTTGAGAAGAGAGATCCAAGATTTAAAGCCAAATAAAAGTAACTAAAAAAAGACACTTTTGAGTGGCTTTCTTTGGAGTGATCTTCATCAAACTGGTCTGCTCCAAATGTTGCAATATTAGGTTGATATCCTCCATTGCCAAGGGCAATCAAGTAAATGGATAAATAGAATAGAACAACGTGGATGGTGGAGTGAGAAGTACAAGGTGTTTTTTCATCCCCACAACCACTAGGCTTGACTAGGAATATGTATGATGTTAAAGAAAGTGATACCAAACCCTGCAATAAAATATATACATATAGCTTTATTAGTGTATATCAATTTTGAATACAAAAAAGTAAAAATAGCCATTATTAATAAGATTGACGACGACCATTACAAGAATTTGTGGTTAGGATTTTTATCATTAATTTCATGCAATTATTCTTCAATAGACTATTAACAACCAATTGAAATAAACTACGACGAGTGGGCCAATCTAGACGTGTACTGTAAAGTGTGACAAGCTAGTCCATGTTAGTTAATGAAATAAGATAATTTAGAAATTTAGAATAATTTTATTTTTGTAGAGACAAGAATAATCCGAAAGGACAAAATTTTTTTGCCCGCGATGCAAGCTAATGGCAAAAAGAATAAAAATCTAGTTTTACCGTAAAATTAAAAGGTTCGGCGCTCAAGGCAATTTAACTTGGCTTAAGCTCGCTAGTCTGTCTCATAATTTAGCCCATGTTTGACAACCATTAAAATAAAAAAAATTTATTTTCTTAAAAATCATTTTTTATTACATATTCGTACAATAAAATATTTGCACGTAAATTCAAAACTTTTTTCTACTTGTTAAATACACATTCTCCAAAAAGTCACTATTCCAAAATTCATTTTCCCCAAAAATTCTTTTAATAGTTGTCAAACACGGACTCAAGGAGTTTCGGATTTTAAAAAAATACTGTACAAACGAGTTAAATTGTGTTAAATCAAATTGGATCAACCCACTTTAGACTTTACATCATCTTGATCGATCTTCTTTGATATGGTCAATGTCAGCAATAATGTAACGTGAAAAGTATATTTCAAGTTGGCATTCAAAGGGATAAAGACTATGAGCATATAAAAGTTGACTACTTACAACCACAAAGATGGCTTGGAAAATAGCACAAGTTTTGTAACGGCCCCAGTAGGAATCACTAAGGAAAGCCCCCAAAAGAGAAAAGATGTAGACAGTGCCTGTCCATTTGCTAACGCTGTTTGCTGCTTCAGCATTGTCTTGTCCCATGACCCTAGTTAGAAACAAAACTAGATTGACTCCTACCCCAAAAAATGCCAGTGTAGCAAGACCTTGGTTCACTGCAAGTAATTAAATATTAATTAATCAACTATTCAACATGGAATTTAATATTTATTTAGGGTCAGTTTGATTGGTTTAAACTCCATGAAAAATGTCACATATGATAAATTCAATTTCTACTTTGACTGTTTGATACGAAAATGAAAATGAAGTTCGAATTCCAAGGAATAACCACTTTGATAGGCCATTATTTTCCATGAAAAATGAAAAACAAATTCTAACTTCCACTTTTGCCTTATTTGACTTTTTTTTCATGAAAAAAACGTTCTTTGTTTGGCTCACATGTTCACATTTTCCTTGGTTTTGTGGAAAACTAATTTCCACCAATTCGGTGGAAATTGATTTTCCAGCCTTTTTTTGACAATTGGAAAAAAATTCTAGACATAATAATAAAAAAATTTATCACTTTTATTGACAATTTCCATACAAAACGAAGCCAAACAGATGGTATTTGATATGATAATTAAAAAAAAAAAAATTGGCAATTTGAACAAATTCTAGACTCAATGATAGAAAAATTATCACTTTAATGGAAAATTTCTATAAAAAATGAAGCCAAACGGATACCAAACTTTCAACATTTTTCAGGTGAAAAATTATACCAATCAAACACAATTAATTACAATTCTCAGTAAAACAATTTTTAGACCATTTAATTCCCTGTAAAACATTTTCTTTCAACTCATTTTCCACATTTGCTATCAAACAGACCCTTAAAGTGTGTTTGATTGATATGGAAAATATATCCTAGAAAAGAAAATATTTTCTTTATTTTCTTTAAAGAAAATGTTTTCTTTAAAAATAAGGAAAATTAAGCATATTTTTAAAAGTTGGAAAATATTTTTTATGAAAAAAAATAATATTCAAACACTCCAAAATAGGAATTTAGGTAAAAAATTAAAATTTTTCATGAAAAATAAATACAATCAAACACTTCCTTAATAAATATTATAAAAAAATTGAGGCTTACCAAGAATTAGAACACCAGCAAACCATGATCCAGTACTTCTGCGCACCGCAGGACGTCCATGCTTATCTACACTTCCATCGAAAGTGCGTTCTTCTTCTTGTTGTTTCATTGTTTTCTCCTCTACTCGATTCTGATAAAAATTGAGTATAAAGATATTTATTTCGAAACTATTCGATAATATTTATTATGTGCAATATTATTTTCCGATATCTCATGACACGTGTTATGAAGTTTTTCGGCTTGTCGCGGAAATTATTGTTACGAGGAAGAAGCCAAATTGACTTGTAACAACAATATTGTTGAAATACAGATGGTAATTAATGCAGTGATGAACACTATTATCTGAATTTTCTTTTTCGAGGAAAATAATAAAGGCAACCACGTTAAATTCATGAATATAGTAATAAACTAGGTGACGTCACGTGCATATTTTGGCTTCATATAATCAGTTAAAGAAGCTATCTATGAAACTACAATAGAATCTCTTTCATTTTTACTTCATGCTTTTCATGAATCAGATTATTTTATCTCCATCTGGATCGCCGTTTCTTCGTGTATATACGGATATATACGAGCGAGATACTATCAAATGCGCCAAAGGATGACATAATCTCTCGAGCACATATTTAAGTTCAGCTACAATAAAAAATAGTAACAAAATGCGGAAATCGTAACTGACACGTCATGAGAAAGACAACTTCCCCTTCCCTACCACCACCCTAACCCAAAGAGCATGTTTGGTAGTGAGTTACTTTATTCTACCAAAGCTGACTTTTAAAGTTACTTTTTTCACTCGCCAAACCTACTTTCTAGGAATAGCCAAACATGGTCCATACGATAATTGTTGCTAGTTTCTGACGAATACGAAGCTCTAATTATAACATACAGAATCAAGTTAATGGAGGAAGAAGAAGAAGAATAGAGGTTCCATGCATGTGAAAGAAAAGAATAAATTGAAATGATCAAAAAGAAAATTTCTCTGCAAATTATGAGGATACAAAAGAAGAGAATAGTATCTCACTAACCTTTTGAACAATGTTTAAGCAACTCATTGTTTCTCCTTATGTCGAAATGCGAATTGCAAATGCTTCAAAATTATAGAGAGAGAGAGAAGAAAAAGAAGAGAACTATAGAGAGAGAAATTTGAGGGAGAGAAGAAAGCTATGAAGTGAAGCAAAAATGGTGATGTATATATAGAGTAGATTTCACTTGTGTTCAAGACTACAAGAAAAGTCTTTGTCCTTATCGAACTCATTTTTCGCCAAACTCATTTAGATTCTATTATTCTTTCAATACAAAAATTTTGAAAGTGGACCCATAATTTTTTTTCTGCTTTTTAAGCCCCTGTTTGGCCCCCATTTTAGGGTGTTGAAAATTTTTGAAATAGTGATTGATGAGAGAATGTGTGGTAGAAAAGTAATGAAAAGTTTTAGATTTGTGTGTAATATTATTTTATTTGATGAATGTGTGGTTGAAATGAAGAGAGAAAAAAAATTAATGTAATGTAACGTAAAAAAATTACGTTTACTCAAAATAAAAAACTTTTCGCAAAATCTGTTGTAATAAAAATATCTACCATAGATGAACTTTGTTTATAAATCGAAAATAAAAATAAAATAGTGACAAAGCAGTGTGTTGTAAAACAAAACGCATTTCATGGAGAAGAAAACAAAAGAATCGTGTCCTTTTCACTTAAGGGAGAAATAGTTGGGATAAAGCTGTATTCAATATTCATTGTCGATAAAGCTGTATTGATGTTGACACACGTGAAACATGCACTCTTGATGATCTTTCCTTTCTTCATTTTTAGTATTTTCGCTACTATTTCTTTAATTACTTTTTTATCAATTACAATTGTTAATGATCTTATAAATACTGTTTCGAGTGTCCTATGAGTCATTTCTAAATCACTTTATGTCTACACGTATGTCTGCACAAATTAATGTTTAGACGAGCTTATGCTTGTACGTGCATTTATGTTGGGATTTTGTGTTGCCAAACAATCTTGGGATGGGACGATGATGTATTGCACACCAGATTATTTGTTGACCCGAAGCAAAAATAAAAAGTGTCTTTCGAAGTGGGAGAAGGAATATTGATCATTGAATCGTGATGAGATCAATGGTTGTGCGTTACCCTATAAAAGGGAGGAACTCTAGCCTATTGTAACTCATTATGCGCTGATTTATCTCACATCTCTCTCTCGTGATTTCTCTTCTTCTTACTTATTGCTTACAAATACTGCTTTGTGCTTGTCCTTTGCGGATGTCATCCTGGTTCTTGGTGAAAGAATTCCTTTTCTTCTGTGTGGTTTTAAGGGTCGTTCCTCTCATGTTGGACAGTGTGATTAAGGGGTATTTTGGTGTGTAGAATATGGACCATCGAACCCTAATCCACGACAATCCATTATTGATGTTGAATAAATCTTTTGTACGGATTATGTTCGATACTTTAATTACATCGGGACAAAATAAGTTATTAAATTTCCATTTTCAAACAATCCTGTATTTGATATATATATTGCAGAGACATAATTTGAACCCGTGACCTCAAGGTCGCTGAATTCCTTGAAACTATTTTATAGAAGTCCATTAATATCTTCTTTTTATAAAGCAAATCAACTTCAATTCTTGAATAATCCACATCACTTCTGCTTTTATTGTAACAAAAGATTTCTCAAGGCGTATGATGTGCACTTATATTTATTTGTTTTCATATATAGGATATATAGGAAAAAACCATCCACTACTTTTTAAGGAAACGCACATATGGACAATTAACCTAAGTGGTATCTGACTACAAAAGTCTTTTATGCCATAAAATATGAGTTAGCGTGCATTAGGCTGTCCAAGCAATCTTATGGTGGATTGGAAATTAAAAAAGTTTGCTTTTTAAAATAAACCTAAAGTAGTTTACAGTTCATAAAGCATTGGATTTTGGGGCCTCAACTATTGTTTTTCTCCTTATTTTGAGCTTATTATGGTGATGGAAATTTGAAGAACAAAAGGACAGTGCTCACCCCCACACAACTAGCTACTACTCCTATGTTATTAATTGATATTAATTCCATATGGTCTTGAAATCCTAGTGGAATGGTCACATGATAATTGATACCCCACGAAGTAAGCAGGCTAAATTGACTAAGTCGAGTACACGGCGCTCCGGTCACCTGATTATCGACAGAGAAGTTGTTGGTATCATTAATGATGCAAGTTTATTATTTGGCTTCATTTTTTATTTTTTAATAAGTCGATGATGAAATGTTAATGCATCGGTAACTGTTATTATCTTTTTATCTTTGTACATAAATGGATGACAATGGAGGTTGATAACCTCTCACATCATGCGGGCCCCACGTGATTAAAAAAAATTAAAAAAAAAAAAAAAGTGAGCCCCCCTTATTGTGGATGTTCGATCATCCTCCGTTGTTATCCATTTCAGTACATGTAGTATGGTTGTAATTTTTTTTTAACTATTATTTCATTGCTGACAATTTTTTTAACATTAGTAAATTAAATTTTGTTTTTTTTTAATTACGTCTATATATCAACTTTATGAAAATATTTATTTTTAAATATTACGAACCAAAACTTGATAATTTTTTGAAGGTAATATTTAATCTCTTTTATAATTTTATTTAAGACAGAAATTAAATTGATATATTGAATTTAATAAGGGCTCACTTAAATGTGGAGCCTACGATCACTTCATTTATTTAGAGGTTAACCGAATATGAAACCCTAACTACGTTGATTTTCTTGTGATGTCACCAAGTTAGGTCACTAATAAAGAGGTTAAGTTTTCTTTCCACTACAAAAGTGCCGATAACGATTAGTTGTACAGAGAATTGTGAACTATAGTTTTGAATTGCTAAAGAGGGTAACGATTTATTTTTACTTATATTTTCAACAATAAAAATTGTGCGAGTTTTGACGCGTAAAGGAGATACGCACACCCTAGGTTTGTGGTGCAAAATTGGAGAGTATTAAATATATAATTTTGAATCGTGTTACATGTACATCTTTTTTTGACATCATTTTTTATATTGTGCCACGTGACGACATATGATTGGACAGTTTTGAAAAAAACACACTTTCCTATCCCAACACTTTTTGAACTTCAATGGAGTGTACGTACACGAAGATGTACACTTAGCATGATTCTATAATTTTAAAGAAGTAACATTCTTTACAATATGTAGGGCTTGTTTGACAAAATTTTTGAAAATTCAAAAAGTGCTTCTGAACATGATTAATTTTTTTTAAAAACGCTTTGTCAAACTAAAAAAGTATTTTAGAGGAAGCTGACTTAAAATAGCTTCTTCAGGAAACATTTCTACAAGAAGTAAAAGTACCGCCAAACAAATTCTTATTGTACTATTGTTAAGTAACTTGCATCAATGTGATCACAACTTATGATCTAATACTGCGTATATACCCAGCATTCATGGCGTGAAAACTTCAAACTTGACACGTATTGGATAATCTCTGCTCTAATTAAAAACCTTGAATGCATGATTACTTACTCACATATATAAGGATAATTATGGACCTAAATTTTCTCACATAGACGACTTGGATGACTTTTTCTCTCTTGATTGCTGCATATGGACGTAACTTTCAATTATTAGATTAAAGAAGATAATCTTCCCATTAATCTGGTTTAAGAATGCAGTTAGAAATAAATTTAAAATGGCGTTAGGAAATAAAATCAATGAACTCCCAAGAAAATCAAAATTAAATGGCATTAGAATTTTTCCTACAAAGTTGAATTAAGAAAAAAAAATGGTAAACCGAAACTCGATTATTCTTGTCTAATTCAGTTCCAATATGATATTACATTGTTATTACTTATCGAAATTCCGTTTAGTTCGATTTTAATAATAACAATTATTGCATAAAAAAACATATTTAATTGTTAGCAAATATTTCAAATACATAACTTTTACGTCAAGCAAATTAACAATAATATTTCTACAACCACAAGTTTATGAGACGTATGTGAGGAACTTCGGTTTAATCATTTTTTGATGCCAAATGTACTTTTGTAAAATCATCACTATTATTTGTAGCTGAAAGTTAATGATTAAATTTACCAAATTTCATCAGCAATAGATTAGTAGGAAAGTAGTACGAAAAAATGAGAGAGAGAGAGAGATGACTAATAGAGAAAACAATTGTCCAATAAAATAAGTTTACACGTAAATTGAAAAAAAAAATTCCTACTTATTAACCTAACATTTTTCCAAAAAAAAAAATAATAATAACTATTACAACATATATCCTTCCAAAAAGTGAGCCTCAAACAAATCCTAAGATCTATCAAAAGATATTTTAATCACTGAAGATCCGAAGTAGCTGTGACCATGGCACGATACTTTACCTCGGTAATATGTTTTCTAGGTTTCCAAGAAACTAGATAGGAACCAAGCATTGTACAATAACTTGCGGTATAGGGATGACAAAAAAATTCGATATCTACGGGCCCCCCCGAACGGGGTGGGGATAACCCGCTTAATTGGGTATTCAAGATGGGACGGGGAATTTTGCCCCTGGGGCAGGTTCGGGGCGGGGACGGGTAACGGGGTCCCCGCCCCCCCCCTTTTAGAATTCAATACTTTAAATGAAAATTTTCATTAGTTCTAATAGAAATAGTGACTAAAATTATTTATCTAAATCTAATAAATATGGACAATAAAAATAAATTATAAAAAAAAATTTAAACGAGTAGTAAACGGGGCAAGGACCTCCCCGGTCCCCTCCCCGCCCCACCTTAAACGGGTAACGGGACGGGGAATTTCTTAACAGGGAGGGCCTCTTCGTCCCGCCCCGTTCCGTTGCCATCCATATTGCGGTAGAGTAAGGACTAGGTTGACATTCTATCCAACGAAAATCATAAAAGCCACTTAATTTAGTGTACTTGAAGAAGATAGAAGAATGCCTTTTTTTAAGGTGAGTCTTTGAGAGAGATTGAAGAACTCTGGTGGCAGCATCCATATGGCCAGTATGTGGGGGCATGAATGAATTGGCTTAGAATGTGAACAAAATAGACA